GTCCCCCTTGCTCTGCAAGGGGAAGACCGTGGTGTAACGCGTGTAGTCGTCGACGACCAGCAGGAAGTACCGCTCGCGGCCCTGTCCCTGGACGCGGGCTGGGCCCCACACGTCCAGGTGGAGCGTCTGCAGTGGAGCCTCTGTGGGAGGAAACGAGGAGGAGTGAGGAGCGGCGCGCTGCCGCCCCTCGACGCAAGGAATGCAGGGCGGCGCAGGCGAGGGAGGGAGGGCAGGCAGAGACCTGGGAAGACCAGAGACCAGGGAGCGAGAGTGCATGCTACGCAGGCGAGGCAAGGAGGGGTGACCAAGGCGGTGGTGCCACAGGAGAGTGTCGTGCGACAAAGCGCGACACTCGCAGGGGGCCGCCAGCTGACCAGACACAGACGCAGACGCAGCTACCTGAGGGGACTCAGTGGTGAGTGTGTACAGACTCGAGCCAGGCGCACGGGTAAACGTGGCCAGGTGTCGGCCCGTCCGAGCACACGTACAGCGGGTCACTCGCTGACTCGCAGGAGTGAACTGGTGAACCCCTCCATCCTGGAGGTCAGCTCCCGCCACCAAGTTCGTAGAGAACGAGGGGAGGTAAAGACCTGACAGGAAGCCAGACGGGACGGCCGGACACGGCAGAACCGTGGAGTAGTGGGCAAGGACTGGGCCCCCGGAGGGGTCCGCCAGGGAGACTGGAACTGGCCGACTGAGCGGCGTGAGTGTGGTGCAGTCGCGAAAGAAGGAGCGGGAAGCTCCTGAGTCAAGGGTGAAGGTGTGCGAGACCGCAGAGGGCGCAGTACCAGAGAGAGCAGACTCACCAGCACCTGAAGCCATGGCCTCACCAGCACCTAGAGCAGAAGACGTACTAGCACCGAGAGCAGCAGCCTCACCAGCACCTAGAGCAGGAGACGCACTAGCACCTAGAGCAGCAGCCTCACCAGCACCGAGAGCAGCAGGCTCTATACCAGGGTCAGGCGGTACGCACAGGTAACAGGCACGGGCGGCACTAGTAGGCAATGCATACATGGCAGTGAGAATAGCATCATAGTCAAGCGCAAAGATATCTACCCTCTGTCCATGCAGCTCCAGCCAGGTGGGGAGCTCAGCCTCGTCGCCAAACACTGTGCGCCAGTCGTCGCTCAGACGGGCGAAGCAGCGGGACTGTGTGTGACCAAGCGTCCCACAAGGCTGACCAGTCCTAGCACCTGTGCGAATGACGTACGGGCAGCGAACTGTACGCGTAGACCTGCTACACTGAGCATACCACTCCTGGAGCTGCCGGGGCGTAAGTGTCTCACGTGGACGCCCCTGCAGCTGCAGCTGGCCACTGCCAGACGCTCCCAACTGACCAGCTCCAGGGCGACAGCTACGACGGCTACTGCGACAACCCCAGCTAGTATACCACTCACTAAGCTGCTGGGGCGTGAGAGGCTCGCGTGAACGTCGCTGGAGCTGCATCTGGCCACCTGCCAGTAGCAGTAGCAGCAGCAGTAGCGCGGGCAGGGCAGGCGCGGCAGGCAGGCAGGCAAGCAGGCAGGCAGGCCGGCAGGCAGCCAGGCAGGCAGGCAGGCAGGCAGACAGGCAGGCAGGCAGGCAGGCCGGCAGGCAGGCAGGCAGGCAGGCAGGCAGGCAGGCAGGCAGACAGGCAGGCAGGCAGGCAGGCGGGCAGACAGACAGGCAGGCCGGCAGGCAGGCAGGCAGGCCGGCAGGCAGGCAGCCAGGCAGGCAGGCAGGCAGACAGGCAGGCCGTCAGGCAGGCAGGCAGGCGCTCACCAAAGGCTGGGAGAGCAGGCGATCACCGGGCGAGCAGGGCCGGCGCTCGACGGCGGCGGCCGAGTAGGCGCACGACAGCGGCGGCGTCGGGGCCGCAACACCGGCTGCAGAGTAGGGCCGAAGCAGCTGCAGGGCGGGGCCGCTTCAGTGGCAGTAGCAGGGTGGGGCCGCGTCAGCGGTAGGTCGGGGCCGTGGAAGCTGCAGGGCGGGGCCGCATCAGCGGCAGGTCGGGGCCGTGGTAGCTGCAGGGCGGGGCCGCATCAGCGGCAGGTCGGGGCCGTGGCAGCTGCAGGGCGGGGCCGCATCAGCGGCAGGTCGGGGCCGAGGCAGAGGGCCGCGCGCGGCTCGGCGCGGGCTGCGCTGACAGCGCGCTGAGCTGCTGCAGGCCGCGCGCGGCCGCGCTAGGCAGTAGCGGGCCGCGCGCGGCTCGGCGCGGGCTGTTGCGGGCCGCGCGCGGGCCGCGCGAGGCAGTAGCAGGCCGCGCGCGGCTCGGCGCGGGCTGCTGCGGGCCGCGCGCGGGCCTCGCGAGGCCGTAGCAGGCCGCGCGCGGCTCGACGCGGGCTGCGTGGGCTCGGCGCGGGCTGCGCGCGGCAGCTGCGGGCTGCGCGCGGCTGCAGCGGGCTGCGCGCGGCTCGGTGCGGGCTGCGCGCGGCTGCAGCGGGCTGCGCGCGGCTCGGCGCGGGCTGCGTGGGCTCTGTGCGGGCTGCGCGCGGCTGCAGCGGGCTGCGCGGGCCTGACGGGCGTGTAGAGGGGGCGCGCGGGCCTTACGGGCCTCTAGGGGCGGCGCGCGGGCCTTACGGGCCTCTAGGGGCGGCGCGTGGGCCTTACGGGCCTCTAGGGGCAGCGCGCTGGCCTAAGGCAGCAGGAGGCAGCGCTAGGGCTGCTGGACGGCGCGCATAGTGCAGCACGTCACAAGGCAAGGCAAGGCAGGCAGGTACGTGGGGTAGCGCGGTAACCGCAGCGGTAGGTGGGCCCGAAAAAAAAAAAAACGGTCCTACGGACCTTAGTGCTCTGATACCATGTCAGAATCTAGCAGCAGGAATGGATGAACTAACAGGATGCAGGAGTACAAGTAGTAAACCCTAATTGGGTTGTACCCCATATGGGCTACCCCACTACAGCCTAAACAATATGCAGCACATATAGTTTGACAATCACCCCCCTAGCGCCACTCCCCTCGGCTCCCACACCTCCACCCCCCTCAGCGGCAGCTGCAGCAGTGGGAGACGAAGGAGGAGGAAGGGACGACGCACACGGAGCACCCCCATACCCGTCACCCCCACACTCCTGTCCAGGGGGGGGGGGGGGGGGGGGGGCAGGGGCGGCCGAACAGAACAGAGCGCACGAGGGCGCGGGCAGCAGCAGAGCGCACGAGGGCGCGGGCAGCAGCAGGGCGCACGATGCACGAGGCACGAGGCACGAGGCACGAGGCACAAGGCACGATGCACGATGCACGAGGCACGAGGCACGAGGCACGAAGCACAAGGCACAAGGCACAAGGCACGAGGCACGAGGCACGAGGCACAAGGCACGAGGCACGAGGCACGAGGCACGAGGCACGAGGCACAAGGCACGATGCACGATGCACGATGCACGAGGCACGAGGCACGAGGCACGAAGCACAAGGCACGAGGCGCAAGGCACGAGGCACGAGGCCCGAGGCACAATGCACGAAGCACAAGGCACGAGGCACAAGGCACGAGGCACGAGGCACGAGGCACGAGGCACGAGGCACAGGGCACGGGGCATGGGGCACGGGGCACAGGGCACGGGGCACAGGGCACGGGGCACAGGCCACGACAGGGTCCAGAAGCACAGGGCATGGGGCACAGGGCACGGGGCACAGGGTACGGGGCACAGGGCACGGGGCACAGGGTCCAGAAGCACAGGGCACGGGGCACAGGGCACGGGGCACAGGGCACGGGACACAGGGCACGGGGCACAGGGCACGGGGCACAGGGTCCAGAAGCACAGGGCACGGGGCACAGGGCACGGGGCACAGGGCACGGGACACAGGGCACGGGGCACAAGGCACGGGGCACAGGGTCCAGGAGCACAGGGCACAGGGCACGGGGCACAGGGGCCTGGGGCGTCCGCTGCAGGGGCGGCTGCTCCAGGGGCCAGGGGCGGCTGCTGCAGGGGCGGCTGCTCCAGGGGCCAGGGGCGGCTGCTGCAGGGGCGGCTGCTCCAGGGGCGGCGTCGCGGGCCCAGGGGCGGCTGCACCAGGGGCGGCTGCTCCAGGGGCGGGTCGCTGGCTCAGAGGCGGCACATGCGCTGCTGCAGGGGCGGCTCGCGCGCTGCTGCAGGGGCGGCTGCTCCAGGGGCGGCGTCGCGGGCCCAGGGGCGGCTGCACCAGGGGCGGCTGCTCCAGGGGCGGCGTCGCTGGCGCAGGGGCGGCTCGCACGCTGCTGCAGGGGCGGGTCGCGCGCTGCTGCAGGGGCGGCATCGCGAGCTGCTGCAGGGACGACGTCGCGAGCGACGGGCGACGGGGGGAGAGCAGCAGGCGGGCCCCCGGAAGGCGCCGCGACGAGCGACGGAGGGGAGCAGCGGGCGGGGCCCCTGAAGGCGCCGCGACGAGCGACGGGGGGGAGCAGCGGGCGGGCCCCCTGAAGGCGCCGCGACGAGCGACGGAGGGAAGCAGCGGGCGGGCCCCCCGAAGGCGCCGCGACGAGCGACGGAGGGGAGCAGCGGGCGGGCCCCCTGAAGGCGCCGCGCCGAGCGACGGGGGGGAGCAGCGGGCGGGCCCCCTGAAGGCGCCGCGACGAGCGACGGGGAGAGCAGCGCGCAGGCCCCCCGGAGGGCGCCTCGACGGACGGTGAAACCGCCGCGCGCCCTGGGCAGAAAAAACCGCCACGCGCTCGGAGCACGTGGCGAGAAGAAAAATACAGAGCCGTGCACCACGGAGCGCGCGGCGGACAGTACGGCAGCGGAAGCAGGTGGTGGGCCCGTTAAGCTAGGCGGCAGGATCATGCCGGCTCTAGATACCATGTCAGAAACACTGGGAGTGGGGCCTAGGCTTAGTAGCCTAGGCCACACTAAGAGTAGGAGGTTGTGCCCTAGGACTAGGTTTTAGGGTATACGAAGGAGAAATTGGAGAAGGAATGATGGAGTGGTTGAACTAGCAGGCAGCAGGAGACAAATAGCAAACCCTAAGGGGTTGTACTCACTATTGAGCACCCCACTGCAGGCTAGACAAATAACATATTCTGACAGTTATGGCAGATTCTCTTCACCTTCAGTCAGATCTCGTGCGGTGGCGCGTACACCAGTGCCTGGAACAGTAGAATTGGCATCGCGTAGCTATTCACGATTGTCACCCTGGCAGAGGTCGTCAAGTGCTTCGAGTCCCACTTGCTCAGCTCGCCGCACATCCGTTCAAAGGCCTTGTACCAGGACGGCTCCGGCGATCCTCCCGATGTGACCCAAATGCCGAGGAGGCGTTCCGGCTCGTTCCGCGCTGCCCATTGGAACGGTGAGCCTGTGGGCTGCTGTCTCCTCCTGTTTTTCCCCAGTGGCATCAGCTTCGTTTTTTCCTGGTTGATGTACAATCCTGAGCGTAGTCCAAACTCATCCAGCAGCTGCTTGGCTGCCACCACTTGCTCTTGACCGTGCAGGGCTAAGGTGGTGTCGTCAGCATACCCTACATACGTCAGTCCACCAACTCCCCTTTTCCGGATCCCCAAACCCCTTCTTTCCGCTTCCTGACAGAGAGGTTCCGCCGCGCAGAGGAAGAGATAGGGAGCAAGCGGGCAACCCTGCCGTACCCCTTTCTCCATCCCGATTCTATCACCTAACCATCCATTAACCATCAGCTTTGTTCCCGCTCCCTCATGAAGTCCCTTTGTCCAGGCAATGAATTTGCCCGGGAAGCCCATCTTCTCCATCGTGGCGAAGAGGAAGTCTCTCGAGACCGAGTCATACGCCTTTTGGAAATCGACCAGGAGCAGCAGCCAATCCTCATCTCCTTCTGCTGCCGCGTCGATCACATCCGCAACCGTTGATACCGCATCCGCCAAACGTCTCCCAGGTATAAAGCCGTACTGTCTCTCCGAGATAACCTGTGGTAGAACTTTTTTGATCCTGTTAGCCAGCACCTTCGCCACTAGCTTGTATAGCACACTGAGTAAAGTTATCGGGCGGTAGTTTCCTAACTGCTCCCTTGCTCCCTTCTTATGCAGAAGGATTGTCACCGCCGTCATAAAAGGCTCCGGCAGCAACGCGTCCTTCTCGAAGTCCTCAACCAGCTTCAACACCTCCTTTCCCAGGAGGCCCCAGTTTTGCTCGAACAGCTCCTTCGGCAACCCATCCTGCCCCGGTGCTTTCCCCGTTGGCAGCTCTCTGAGTGCTGTTCTTACTTCCTCTTCTGACCATGGCCTGGTGAGTGCCTCTTTATCCTTGTCCCGCAGGCGCTTGCTTTCTGCCACCTCCCATCCTTCCTCTGTAACCACCTGCAGGGGGCCCGCAAAAGTGTCCCGAAAGAACGCTGTTGCGGCCTCCAGCACCTCTCTTGCCCCTGTGATGTTCTGTCCGTTGACTGACACCTCCCGGATTTCTGTCTTTTCCTTCTTCGACTTGATCAGGCCGGACAGGTAGCCAGTCGGCGCTTCACTCACTAACTCCACCGTCATACCCGACAACACCTGCAGCCGGACCTTGTTTCTCGCCTGATATTCTTTCCATGCCGCTTCCGATTTCACCAACTCCTCATATAGCCTTTGTGCAGTCGGGTTCGCCATCAGCAGACTCCTTATTCTCACCACCTTCTTTTCCAAATGCAGCATCGTAGCCTTCACCCTTTTCCGTTCCTCAGTCGTGTGCGTTCTTAGACTTGCCTTCAAATTCGTCAGCAGACACTCAAGGGGTTGATCTGCTCTCCTTTGATGATCAGCCACCACTGCTTCGATTATTTTTTCCGTCCCTTCTCCTCTTGATTGGGTTGCCTGCAACCTCCAAAGCCCCGCCCCCCCCCCCCCCCCCCCCCCTGGAACCGCAGCCTGCACTGTGGCGTGGACCGCAAACCAGTGGTCTGTAATACCGACCGGGACGAAGGTGTGCTTTGTCTCCAGCACTTGTCCAACCAGCGACCTCGACATCAGGATCCTGTCAATGCGCGTACTAGTCTTCGACGAGCGAGAGAAAAAAGTGAACTCCTTCCTTGTTGGATGGAGCGTACGAAATGAGTCTTGCAGATCCCAGCCACTGCAGATCTGAAGAAAGCGCTGGTTTTCTGCTGGTGATCCTAGTCTGGAGGACTTGTCCAGGTCCGGATCTGCAACTATGTTCAAGTCTCCCAAGAAAATCGTGTGGGTTGTCATCGGCAAACCATGCACGAAAGGTGACAGAGCATCCCGGAAGAACTCCCCCCTGTTCGTAGTTTGAGCCGGGAAGTACGCCGCCACCACTCTGTACTCCTGCTGCTGCCAAGTAAAGGTAACACTCAGAATCCTCCCCGAGCCATGGGACACAACATCCTTGAAACGAATCCCTGGTGCAAATCCTAGTATTGCCACTCCGCTTGCTCTCTGGTCTGGCGAAACTGCTGCAACTGCATCTGGCCTTAGCTGACTCCAGAAAATGTGGTCAGCCGGTATCCTCGTGTCCGTTAGTACAACTATTTTAGCTGCCTTCCGTATCCAATACCCGCATCTTTCTCGCTTGCCGTTGCTACCGAGCCCGTTGATGTTGAGCTCGAGAAAGGTGAGTTTGTGGTGTTTATCCATTGACTAACCTGCTTAAGCCCCTCAGCATCCACGGGCGTAAAGACTTCATTGATGAGACACTAACAGCCACAGCATACGAGAAAAACACTGCCAGTACTCCACCTACAACTGCTACACCTCCGATCATGACACCAGGTACTGCGATCTCCAGTAGGTCGTTGTCCATTTCATTGCTTCTCATTTTTCCAGCTTCTTCCCGAAATCTTTCTTGAAATCGCTCAGCCTCTGGGAGCCTTTTGCCGCACGTGTTGCAGCGCCTGACTTGCGCAACCCCCCCCTGTGACGTGCAGAGGCGATGTGAGCCGAGGCCTGCTCGAAGCGGGTACCCTGAGCTTTCTCGCAGGCTGCCTGAACGCAGATCCACTCCTCTCGCAACCCTCCAGTCGAGACCAGGACCAGGGCCGGATCCTTTAGAATACGTTTCAGCGGATCTGAAACTTTCAGGGAGGCCGCTGCGGGGGAGGTCAGAAGCGGAAATGTCAGTATAATCATCAGAAACAATTAACACGGGATACGGAAACGAGGTACGGACACTGCTCCCTATACCATTGAATCTGTGAGCCTTAGCTACCGTAAGGTTCCAACGGCTCATGTTGTCGTGGCGCGGAGTGACATAGTCATCATGATAGCGGGTCAGATGCTGGCCACCACAGTAGTCGCAGGCAACACTCGGGAAATGGATGAGGAACTTCCGTCCAGGTAACGACTGGAACTCAGCAGCGTGGAGCCAGCGGTACTTATCAGCAACATGCGGAACCACCAGGCCTTTGATGCGATCAGTATCCATTCCAGAGACAGGGTCAGTCGTGCGGTGAAAACCAAGCCACTCGCAAAAGCACTCTTCCCTCTCTTGACCATTACTGCCTCCACCAGCGTACGACGAACCATCTCAGGCGAGATTTCCGCCGGGACCGACTTCAACACCACTTCAACAGCAGATGGATTGATGGAGCGCTCTCTGAGGAAGCGTGCATTTTCCGGAAACTGCCAGGTAAGCTTCACAAATTTGTCGTCAACACACTCATGATCAATGACTTGTTCACGCACGAACTCCGCATCACGCGCGCTGTTAAAAGTGACTTGAAGCCTCCCGAACCTCTGCCGGGAGAGAAAGGTCGGCTGAAGCTTCAGGTAGGTGGTAGTCTGCAGCACATCTGGTGAGAGATGCTCCTTGCAGTCATCAAGCAGAGCAACAATCGTAGCCTTAACACGCGGGACTTCCGCAATCCTGTTAACAGGCACCAAAAGGGTTAGAGAGACCTTTGTCTGTGATGCAATGTCAGCTGCAACAACCGGATCAAACATCTCATCCGAGTCGTCGCGGAGGTATCCATCACCGTCCTCTTCCAGGTCCAGTTCTTCAGCTGCCGTGTCATTATCAGATACCTCTTCTTCCACGTTGCTGATCGGCTTGTCCACACCATACTTATTCGACGCATCATTCGCGTTAACCTCGTCAACACTTTTCCCCTTGGCATCTGCGTTGCTTGTCCCAGCAGGAGCGGTCGGTAGAGCAGCCAGCGGATCCGATGAGGGCGCCGGAAGCGGCTTGGCAGGTAACCGCTGCAGCGCGTCCTCCTTCAACGGGGAGCTCGGCGGTGTGTTGGTGACATCGTTAGCATCTTGATCCGTGACGCTGGTCGTCTTAGTCGCGTTGGTCCTGGTAACTCGTGGCATCGTGCGATGATGAGAAACACAGAATAGCCTAACAATGGCTGATACTGAGTGTTGTCTGAGCACTGAACTCCTTTGCTTTTTATGATGATCACCCTTGCAGCGGATCCCGTGGTTGAGTGTGACCTTGTGCAGACCTTCGGGATGTCCAATACATGATAACATTTGGATTGCAAGAAAGCCTTGGTGTGTGTTCTTAACTTCGCGTTGAAATCCATGGTTCTTTTGGGATGCTGATTGCCTTGGTAATAGATCCGAGGCTGATGATAAGGTGCAGAGATGCCTGGAACTCGACAATGACCTAGCAATGTCCCCTTTTTGGACATTAAAAGTAGACCATTGTGTAGAGCTTTGAAACCTGCATCATTGTCATTGTCATTGTCATTCATTGTCATGAATGTTTCATTATAGAGGGCCTTTAAAAGCTACATATCCATCTGTACTATTAACAGGTTCATCCAAAGTGAATGTGTTCGAGGACGGACGATACGCCATGTAGTGAAGGATTTGGTTGTCCTGACAACTGTGCCGTTTCAGTCCAGTGGAAGATTCACGCTGGAGAATGTGGCTAGATTCACTCATCACCAGTGGACATCTTCAAATCAGGTGAATTTATCTTGTTGAAGAGATCTTGCCATGCCACTGTCCTTCACATTTCCAAGTCAGCGCCAGGTGGCATCAAGTTCTAGATCCAAGGTTCGAATGGTTCGGCCAATGAGGAGCGGCGCCCAGCTTCGTAAAGTCGTTGATGACAGCCTCTTGCCGTTCGGGGATGGAGGATATGGGAGATCGTTTCTTCACCTCGAAGCGAGGTGAATCTTTCGTCGAAGGTGCGAGACGTACGTAAGCGGGGGACTTTGGCTCAATTCGTGGCCAGAATTCTTCCTGCTTGACGGGCTTCGAACGTACAGGTTGGCGGAGGCGGCGAAAAGGCTCTCCCGACATTTTCGCGTTCGCGAACTCCTCCGACGCCAGCCTGCTTCCGCGCACAGGCCAAATCGATTCTGACAGGTGGCCTTTGGCCAGCCTGTCACACGCTCATCAAGGCATCAATTTCGCCCTCCTTTTCGATAGAGGAACGAATTCTGTTCTGCTCCACCCACACCTTCCCTTCCCTCACGCCCGCCCCCATTCCCCTCAGTTCCCCCACTAACGAAGCCACCCCTCATCCACGTGAGTTTCCCCAGACCTATACCTGAGGCTGGCGCTCAGCACCGAACCGAAGTTTCGACGCCGCACGCTGCTCTCCCCTGACTCCCCAAATTATCCCCGCAAACAACCGCACCCAAATATCTCTCTCTCCTCACCCTCCAAAAATCAACAACTGCTTCAGAGAGAACCTGCATACCACTCTGAAACATTTGGAATACGTCCCAACCGTTCTGTTTTTGTTGCACTCGCCCAAACGAGAAATTATCAGAAGCCCCAGGTGTGCCTTGATTGGTAGGCGCTCGTGTATCTGCGCAGTGAGTGCGGCTGAGGTGGCGGAACCGCGTCGTCCTTGTCGCCTCAGACCTGCATTTGGCCGCAAATTCAGCAGCCATTTTTCTTCCCTCTCCCCCGCTGCCATTGCAATTTCCGCCGCTCCCAGCGAAACGGGACAGGACGGGAGGAGACCGCGGCCGTTTCCGCAGAAAGTCGGTCTTCCGCCCCACCATCCCAGCGAGTATTTTCGCGAGCATTTTCTTGGCTTCAGTTCAGAAGAAGATTCAAGTACCGTTTCGTGACTTCCAACTCATAACTGCAGGTTGCTTCAGGAACTGCTAGCTACCGAAGCTAGCTCCCCACACCTGCTGTGCATTCATAGTTCCTGTCTGGAACTTTGGAGTACTACTTACTTGCACTCTCCGTTCCTGGAAGTTGTGCAAGATGATTCCCGGGGAGATTTCTCTCTCTCCGAGCTCCGGCTTTCCGATGGAGTCGAACCAGAAGCTCGGTTCCAAGAGGCCTTTCGCAGACGCGTTCGACGCAGTAGACGACACCATGTTCTCCTTCGGCCAGACCGGAGACCTTTTTGATCGGGGGCTCGACCAATTAATGACGTACATGGGCGAAATGGGAGGTATTGCCGAGAAGGATAACAAATTGCTCCCTAACGCGGACAGGCTTCTGCCTGATGATGGTCCCGAGGAGTCCGTCGGGGAGGGAGGCAGCCATGACAATTTCGGCTTGTTCGACTCGAACCCGTTCGGTGCGATGAAACCCGCTGCGGCGTTGTTTCCGGAAGGTTCGTGCGAGCCGCAGCTGGTCCCGTGCGCTCCGAAGCCGGCGGCGACGACGACGACGACGAACGACGTCGCAGGCTCGGTCGCAGACGGAGCGCTCGGATCGCCTGACGCGTTCAGCTCGCCGGACGGTTTCGCGTCGGAGGATTTCAAACTGCCCTTCGGGATGGATGACGTGGATGCGTTAAATCAGCAGGACCTTCGTTACAATCTCATGCTCAGAGGAGCGGGCCTTGCAGGTACGCAGTGAAAGCATAGCGATCCGACTCATTCTCGTTTTCACTCTCGTGTCTCCATACGTTCTTGCTCCTGTTTCTGCTTTTGTTACCACGAAGATTTGTGGCTAACTCGTTACTTTCCCTTTCTATTACTATGTTCTTTTTGTAACGCAGAACATTCTACCGCGGATGCTCCGTCGCATCCCAAAATGGAGTACCCGGAATATCCAGCGCATCACCCAATGAACCACCCGATCTATCCGCCGCACATGCCGCTCTACTACCCGGGAATGCCCACCATGCCGGTTCCCTACTACGGCATGCCGTACCCTCCATTCGCGTATAACCCGTGGATGGCTCCTTATTCTTCGCCTTACATGCCTCCCCAACAGTAAGTCCGCGTCACGTAACTTGTCACCCTCGTTTTTTTCTCGAACGATGTGTGAGACGGATTTACGAGTCATGAACAGCTATACTTCGCGAAACGAACGCATAAGTCGTGAATGGAAGCTAATCATCACTGTCTTCTTTACTCTATGCAGTGCGATGCCTGGAACCAGCGCTATTGCCTCCGACCCTGCTGCTATCGCGCGTCAGCGTCGCCTGGTCGCGGATTCCGTGCGCGGAAAGCGACGACGACACGCGCTCAACGCGTCCTCGCAGTTCCCTTCCCCCGCATCTTCCGCCGCACCTTCCGCGATGCCTTCCGCGTCCCTCTACGGCCACCCTGTCCCATCCTCACCGTCCATGCTCCCCTGGGCTCACGTCAATCCCGAGGCTGCTGACTCGGCGAACACCTCTCCCTCTTCGCCGTTCGTTCCCGCCGCTCCTCTCCCGCCGTTCTCCCCCGCCGTCGTCCCGTCGACTCCGAAAGCCGTCGCGTCTCCCGCACGGTGCGCCTCGCCTGTCCCTTCATCCTCCCTTGCTGCGGTGGTGAAAACCGGCGCCGGGAAGGCTGCGGCTAAGAGTCCGCTGGGCAGAGTTGCTCCCCCCCCTGCTGCTGCTGCTGCTGCTGGCAAATCTCCTGCCGTGAAGTTTTCAGCTGACGCGGAGGTCGCCGCTGCTCCCGCCGCTGCCATGAAGGTTTCGCCGGTCCTGAAGATTGAAGAGGACGTGTTTGTTCCTACCGCTACCGCTACCGTTATCCCCGCTGTTGCCGCTCCTGCGGCTGGGCCGCAAGCTAAGGGAGGGAAGGCCGCGGCGAAGCAGCAGCGGGACGAGCGGCGTGTGAAGCGGCTGCTGCGGAACCGCGTGAGCGCGCAGCAGGCGCGGGAGCGGAAGAAGAACTACGTTGCGGAGCTGGAGCAGCGGTGCGAGACGGTTGAGAGGAGTAACGCGGAGATTGAAGGGGAGATTGCAGCTCTTATGGCGGAGAACGAGCGGCTGAGGCAGTCCATGCGGAGGGCTATAAGGGAGACTGGTGTCTGATGCCAAACAAACTTCGAGGTTTTTACGAACTACAAGATTTCCTCATCTTACGATTCTGTACAGATTGGTTGAGCGAGACCGCAGCCTTGAGTGGGGAGGGAGTGGAGCTGGAGCAACAGGGGAAGGCGCTGAGGCAATACAGGCTGATTATGAGGGAAGCTAGTGCTGCTGGTAGACTGGAGGTGAAGAGGTGTCTGTCACGCTTTGGAGCAATCTGATTGAAGGCATGCTGAAGTTGATGCAGCTGCTTTCACGTAGAATATTTGTGAGCTAGCGTTAACCTTTTTGCGGAAGCTTGAGGGGATAGTAGTGACGTTGCTGGAGTTATACTGCGGGACTCTGCTGAGTGCTTGCTGCTTAGTGCTTGGTGCTGAGTGCATGTTGCTGGCTTGCTAGTTTCATAGACCAGGACACCAGCTGAGAGAGGCTTTGACCCTTCTGTGGTGGATTTTGAAGTGAAATAACCTACGGCTTGAGTAGATTAGGCCAATGTATAAGGAGCTTTGTATATAAACTTGATCTTGTGTTTCTAGCGCAGTCTGAGATCATTAGAAGGACAAAATGCATCTTCTTTCACTTGTCACCCCGTTGGACCATTGTGCACCCGATTGAACCTTGCAACACTGGTAGTAGAATATATTACCTGCCGCAAGCCATGTTCAGTGCGTGTAAGTTCGGCAATCACCACAACGCACCGTACTGTGTCTCGCTGCAACATAAAGCACCGGGCTAACCTTTCTCGGTCATTGATTTGATCATGGCCCAACGCATTAGCTCTGCCCCATTTCTGACTACACGTCCAGTCCAGTGGCTTTTTCAAGTTAGCCGCATCGCGACTTAGCCTGTGAGCACGGCATGGGCGTTTAGTACGGACGAAATGCCGTATTGGGATAGTCCATAACGAAGCGAGGCGACGAGGTTGTTTTGATTACTCCTATTAAAGGAAGATGTCGCCTCGGCGTGTGAAATAGGAGGTATTAGATACGCCCACGGCGGGAAGATGGGGCCTCGTCGTAGGGTTAGCGCTGCAACAGTTGTGGATTCGTCACATGGCGTTGAACTGATGACGAATGCAGGTTCAGGAGATGCGAATTTGAACCAGGATAGACCCAAGTCCAGTTTGAGCGACGGTCGAGGCGAGCCCAGCAGCGTCGCAGATCGTCGCCGAGCCGGTCGCATTGTGCTCGCGACAGCGGCGGTTTCGCGCGTAGCCATGCTGATCCTGTTCTTCGCCTTTGACGCGATTCTGGAAGATTACGACACGTCAGCACGCATCTATTCCCCGTGTCGCCCACATCACCTGTCACCTGGAAATTCGTCTGCGGTAGACCGCACGATGAAACTCCTAGGAATCTCACACGACATGAAAAACAATTTTAAAGAATTAAATTCCGCGAATGCCGATACGGATCGTCTACTAGCCTCCGTTCCCACTGTCGTGCGCGCGACTGAGTGGATTGTCCGCCGCCTTCCCCCTGAGTTGTTTTCCACATCGCTTATCCAAGACTACCCTGGTAAATAAGATCTCGTCCGCGGTCTACCCGTGGTAAATTCTACACATATTTTTTCAGTCGACTCCCAGTTTTTCATGCGGTCTTCTTCCACCCCACTGGCCTCTGTGGCTACGAGTTCGAACAGGCCTACTACGCCTTCTGTCCCCCCTCATACCCCCACTTATCAGGTCACAACAGCTCGCTACAATGGGCGTTAGAGGGCGTGGTGGTGTGGGATTCGGTGTTATTTCACCACATTGCTCTCTGTGGCTACAAGTTTGAACAAGGCCGCGCATTCTGCCCCCTCGTGCCCCCTCTTATCAGGTCATAACAGCACCGTACAACAAGCACTAGAGGGCGTGGTGGTGTGGGATTCGGTGTTCTTCCACCGCATTGCACTCTGTGGCTACGAGTTTGAGCAGGCCTATGCCTTCTTCCCCCTCCTGCCCTTGCTCATGCGCCTCCTCGCCACTGCCACTCCCTGTGAGTGCTTCTTACTTTCTTCTCTCGCCCTTGTGAATGTAACCACTCGCTCGCCAATAAGCCCTTCCCGCCCCCCTCAATTCATTCAGTCCGTCTGCTTCGCCACTTTTGCCCTTGTGGGACTGAGCTCTCCAGGACCGTTGCTGCAGCTTACCGCCTCTTATTCTCTCCTCTCCTGTCCCCCTCTCCTTTCTTCCTTCTATTCACCCCCTTCAATCCCCTCAGTCCGTCTGCTTCTCCCCATTCTCGGGGCTCCAGCCACATTCACTCTCGTGGGGCTGCTCCTTTCAAGTGCTATCGTTGGCCCAGCTTGCCACCTCCTTTTCTCCTCTCCTGCTCCCCTGTCCCTGCTTGCTTCCTTATATTCAACCCCCCTTCCCCTTTCTGTGCCCCTCTATTTCCCCAGTTTGTCTGCTTCTCCCCATTCTCGGGGCTCCAGCCACCTTCACTCTCGTGGGGCTGCTCCTCTCCAACACCGCTTTCGTTGCAGCAGCTTACTGCCTCTTCAGGTAAGAATTGCTCAAGCCCTCTGCTGCCCACCTGCCCTCTGCAGCCTACCTGCCCTTTGCAGCCCACCTGCCCTTTGCAGCCCACCTGCCCTTTGCAGCCCACCTGCCCTTTGCAGCCCACCTGCCCTTTGCAGCCCACCCGCCCTTTGCAGCCCACCTGCCCTTTGCAGCCCACCTGCCCTTTGCAGCCCACCTGCCCTTTGCAGCCCACCTGCCCTTTGCAGCCTACCTGCCCTTTGCAGCCCACCTGCCCTTTGCAGCCCACCTGCCCTCTTCTGACAGTAAGAACAGCCACCTTCGCCCTCGTGGGACTGCTCCCCTCCTATACCGCTTTCGTTGCAGCAGCTTACTGCCTCTTCAGGTGAGAAATGCTCCCAAGGCTTCCGCAGCCGACCTGTCCTCTTTTCACAACAAGTCCAGCCACCTTCGCCCTCGTGGGGCGCGCTTCTCTCGAATGCCGCTTTTGTTGCAGCCTACTGCCTCAGGTATTTTCACTATCAAATGTGGGCGAAGTGAGTGATTGGTTGATACTTGCTCGTGAGTCAACTTAGAACCTGGCCTTCAAGTGCTCCTTTTGACCGTCCTGTGGATTCAAGTGTGCTTAACCTTCTCTCGATCGTGCTTCATGCCCTGTGCGGGCTGATGAAGTGGGTTCTCCTCTCTCTGACATGTGCCTAACCTTCTCTTGGTCGTCCCATGTCATTTTTTCTCCGTGCGGGCTGACCGTGTGTGTGTGTTTTCTCTCTGACACGAGCTAGAAGTTTCAAGTGTGTTCCTCTTGACAGATTAGTCTTCTTGTTTGTTCCTCTTTTCGCGCACTTTGCGAGTTATTTGGTACATCCCGCTGAGGTTATTTCTTAACACATGCTGACAAAGACGCCTTCTCCATTTCCTTGCCTTTTGGCCGGTCCTGCCCTTTGAGCTGCCAGCAATTCAAGATATCCAACTTGCTCGAAGAATCAAGGGAGGGAAGAACTCATACTACCCTGCTAAACGGCCTGCTTTGCAGAACTGAACAGTTTGCTCCATATGACCTGAGCATGTAGAGTAGACGAACTGTTCAGAATTCATATTGAGTTCTGTAAGGCAGGCCGTTAAGCAGGGTAATGTGGGTTCCTCCCTCTCTTGATTCTTCGAGCAAGTTGGATATCTCGAATCGCTGGCAGCTCACGGCAGGACGGAGCAAAAGGCAAGGAAATGGAGAAGGCGTCTTTGTCAGCATGTGTTTGGAAAGAATAACCTCAGCAGGATGTACCGAATAACTCCCAAAAGTGTGCAGGTGACCGAGTGTGTGTGTTTTCTCTCTGATACGAGCCAGAAGTTTCAAGTGTGATCCTCTTGCTAGTTCTGTCTTCTCGACTGACCGACTGTGTTCTCTCTGACACGCGCTCGGCCCTTCTATCCTCCCTCCTCTCCCCTTCAAACGTGTTACTCTTAAACGTGTCTTCTCCACGTGCTCCTATCAAATGTCTTTGCTTCCTGCAGGCTGACCGACTGTGTTCTCTCTGACACACGCTTGGCCCTCCTCTCCTCCCTCTTCTTCTGCCTCACGCCCGCCTCCACATTCTACTCTGCCATGTGAGTGGATGTGGGGGAGCGAGCGTGGGAGGATATGTGCGGAAATGTGTGAGGGGGAGTAAGCATCTGTTTATGGTTGTTGTCTCCTCTCCTCCCTCTTCTTCTGCCTCACCCCCGCATCCACGTATTACTCTGCCGTGCAAGTTGGGAGACTGGTTATGTTATGTGTGTTTGTGTGAGAAAGAGGGAGAACGCGCATCTATGTGGACATGGACGCGTCCAGCGTCCAATACGCTAGCGTATATACGCTGGACGCTCTGATGTCCTGCCCTGCCTCGGGCAGGGGGGAAAAAAGCGGGGGGACTGGGGGGAAAGGGAGCGCCATAAAGATTCCGCCATGGAATCGCGATGGTAAACGTCACTAATGCTGGAATAAGACGTTCCGCTTGATTGAAGGAGTTTTTTAAACGGATGCCGTAGAGGCAAATTTCGTCGGCGTAAACGCCAGTCTAGGTGAGCTAGCTGTTAGAAATAATCTGGTCGTGGGTGAGAGTGAAACCTAACCGTCAACTAACTCTGGCTGGGAAATGTGTCTGCCAGAGTCAGTCGATCTCCTTACGATGGGTTGGCTTTGCTAGATTAGAAGGGGTGAAATGCGGTAGAAAGGGAAATTGCGAGGGCAATTTGTTGGATCTGGTTCTGTTTTGGTGAATTGAACCAGATCCGCGCCGAAATTACATCCGCGCTGGAATCGCAAATCTCGAAATTGTCGCGCGATTTTTTTTCGTCGGGCTGCCCGAAAATTTTCAGGGCGAGCGTCCAGCGTCCAGCGAGCGTCCAGCGTACGGACGCTAGCGTATATACGCTGGACGCTCGCCGTCCAGAGCGTATATGCCCACACAGACGCGCATGCTTGTCTCCTCTCCTCCCTCTTCTTCTGCCTCACCCCCGCCTCTACTTTCTACTCTGCCACGTAAGAGTGAGTGAGTGAGTGAGTTTGGAGCAATGAGTGTGAGAGGGTGTGTGGGGGAGTGTGTGTTTGTGTGAGAGAGGGAGTGGGCATCTAAGAGAGGGTGGGTGAGAGAGGGAAACAGAATGCGTGTGCGAGGGAGAGGTCTGTCTGTGCCCACATACCGCACCCACCCCCTTTTTTTCCCCGCCCCACCACCTCAACCCACCTCACCTCACCTCACCCCACCCCACTCCACCCCTCTCCACCCCACTCCACCCCTCTCCACCCCACCCCCTCCCCTGTGTCCCCACCAGTTACTCAGAGAGCCTATTCGCCCTGCTCTCCTTTGCTGCCATGTCGTGCGTTGTGAGTGGCCGATGGGTCTCGGCATCCCTCCTCATCGCCCTCTCAGCAGCAGCTCGATCCAACGGCGTCCTACATGCAGGCTTCTTCCTCTTCTCACTGCTGCAGGTATATTGTGGTGTTACACGTTGGTAACCACACAACATGGTATGTGACGTACGTGACTCCTCCCTCCTCATCGCCCTCTCAGCAGCAGCTCGCTCGAACGGCGTCCTGCACGCGGGCTTCTTCCTCTTCTCACTGCTGCAGGTATGTCGTTGCGTTACACGTTGGTAACCACACTCAACATGGTATGTGACGTGACGTGACTCCACCCTCAGCAGCAGCTCGTTCCAGTGGTGTCCTGCACGCAGGCTTCGTCCTCTTCTCCTCCCTGCAGGTGTGTTTTCCCTGTGGATATGCAGGTTTCTTACCCCCAGGTCGCCATCTCAGCAACAGCTATAACAGCGTCCTGCATGCGGGCAGGCACTTATCAGCCAAGTGTCCCTCTGCTCTTCTCTTTCCGCCAAGTGTCCCTCTGCTCTTCTCTTTCCGCCAAGTGTCCCTCTGCTCTTCTCTTTCCGCCAAGTGTCCCTCTGCTCTTCTCTTTCCGCCAAGTGTCCCTCTGCTCTTCTCTTTCCGCCAAGTGTCCCTCTGCTCTTCTCTTTCCGCCAAGTGTCCCTCTGCTCTTCTCTTTCCGCCAAGTGTCCCTCTGCTCTTCTCTTTCCGCCAAGTGTCCCTCTGCTCTTCTCTTTCCGCCAAGTGTCCCTCTGCTCTTCTCTTTCCGCCAAGTGTCCCTCTGCTCTTCTCTTTCCGCCAAGTGTCCCTCTGCTCTTCTCTTTCCGCCAAGTGTCCCTCTGCTCTTCTCTTTCCGCCAAGTGTCCCTCTGCTCTTCTCTTTCCGCCAAGTGTCCCTCTGCTCTTCTCTTTCCGCCAAGTGTCCCTCTGCTCTTCTCTTTCCGCCAAGTGTCCCTCTGCTCTTCTCTTTCCGCCAAGTGTCCCTCTGCTCTTCTCTTTCCGCCAAGTGTCCCTCTGCTCTTCTCTTTCCGCCAAGTGTCCCTCTGCTCTTCTCTTTCCGCCAAGTGTCCCTCTGCTCTTCTCTTTCCGCCAAGTGTCCCTCTGCTCTTCTCTTTCCGCCAAGTGTCCCTCTGCTCTTCTCTTTCCGCCAAGTGTCCCTCTGCTCTTCTCTTTCCGCCAAGTGTCCCTCTGCTCTTCTCTTTCCGCCAAGTGTCCCTCTGCTCTTCTCTTTCCGCCAAGTGTCCCTCTGCTCTTCTCTTCCCGCTCAAGTGTCCCTCTGCTCTTCTCTTTCCGCCAAGTGTCCCTCTGCTCTTCTCTTTCCGCCAAGTGTCCCTCTGCTCTTCTCTTTCCGCCAAGTGTCCCTCTGCTCTTCTCTTTCCGCCAAGTGTCCCTCTGCTCTTCTCTTTCCGCCAAGTGTCCCTCTGCTCTTCTCTTTCCGCCAAGTGTCCCTCTGCTCTTCTCTTTCCGCCAAGTGTCCCTCTGCTCTTCTCTTTCCGCCAAGTGTCCCTCTGCTCTTCTCTTTCCGCCAAGTGTCCCTCTGCTCTTCTCTTTCCGCCAAGTGTCCCTCTGCTCTTCTCTTTCCGCCAAGTGTCCCTCTGCTCTTCTCTTTCCGCCAAGTGTCCCTCTGCTCTTCTCTTTCCGCCAAGTGTCCCTCTGCTCTTCTCTTTCCGCCAAGTGTCCCTCTGCTCTTCTCTTTCCGCCAAGTGTCCCTCTGCTCTTCTCTTTCCGCCAAGTGTCCCTCTGCTCTTCTCTTTCCGCCAAGTGTCCCTCTGCTCTTCTCTTTCCGCCAAGTGTCCCTCTGCTCTTCTCTTTCCGCCAAGTGTCCCTCTGCTCTTCTCTTTCCGCCAAGTGTCCCTCTGCTCTTCTCTTTCCGCCAAGTGTCCCTCTGCTCTTCTCTTTCCGCCAAGTGTCCCTCTGCTCTTCTCTTTCCGCCAAGTGTCCCTCTGCTCTTCTCTTTCCGCCAAGTGTCCCTCTGCTCTTCTCTTTCCGCCAAGTGTCCCTCTGCTCTTCTCTTTCCGCCAAGTGTCCCTCTGCTCTTCTCTTTCCGCCAAGTGTCCCTCTGCTCTTCTCTTTCCGCCAAGTGTCCCTCTGCTCTTCTCTTTCCGCCAAGTGTCCCTCTGCTCTTCTCTTTCCGCCAAGTGTCCCTCTGCTCTTCTCTTTCCGCCAAGTGTCCCTCTGCTCTTCTCTTTCCGCCAAGTGTCCCTCTGCTCTTCTCTTTCCGCCAAGTGTCCCTCTGCTCTTCTCTTTCCGCCAAGTGTCCCTCTGCTCTTCTCTTTCCGCCAAGTGTCCCTCTGCTCTTCTCTTTCCGCCAAGTGTCCCTCTGCTCTTCTCTTTCCGCCAAGTGTCCCTCTGCTCTTCTCTTTCCGCCAAGTGTCCCTCTGCTCTTCTCTTTCCGCCAAGTGTCCCTCTGCTCTTCTCTTTCCGCCAAGTGTCCCTCTGCTCTTCTCTTTCCGCCAAGTGTCCCTCTGCTCTTCTCTTTCCGCCAAGTGTCCCTCTGCTCTTCTCTTTCCGCCAAGTGTCCCTCTGCTCTTCTCTTTCCGCCAAGTGTCCCTCTGCTCTTCTCTTTCCGCCAAGTGTCCCTCTGCTCTTCTCTTTCCGCCAAGTGTCCCTCTGCTCTTCTCTTTCCGCCAAGTGTCCCTCTGCTCTTCTCTTTCCGCCAAGTGTCCCTCTGCTCTTCTCTTTCCGCCAAGTGTCCCTCTGCTCTTCTCTTTCCGCCAAGTGTCCCTCTGCTCTTCTCTTTCCGCCAAGTGTCCCTCTGCTCTTCTCTTTCCGCCAAGTGTCCCTCTGCTCTTCTCTTTCCGCCAAGTGTCCCTCTGCTCTTCTCTTTCCGCCAAGTGTCCCTCTGCTCTTCTCTTTCCGCCAAGTGTCCCTCTGCTCTTCTCTTTCCGCCAAGTGTCCCTCTGCTCTTCTCTTTCCGCCAAGTGTCCCTCTGCTCTTCTCTTTCCGCCAAGTGTCCCTCTGCTCTTCTCTTTCCGCCAAGTGTCCCTCTGCTCTTCTCTTTCCGCCAAGTGTCCCTCTGCTCTTCTCTTTCCGCCAAGTGTCCCTCTGCTCTTCTCTTTCCGCCAAGTGTCCCTCTGCTCTTCTCTTTCCGCCAAGTGTCCCTCTGCTCTTCTCTTTCCGCCAAGTGTCCCTCTGCTCTTCTCTTTCCGCCAAGTGTCCCTCTGCTCTTCTCTTTCCGCCAAGTGTCCCTCTGCTCTTCTCTTTCCGCCAAGTGTCCCTCTGCTCTTCTCTTCCCCGCCAAGTGTCCCTCTGCTCTTCTCTTTCCGCCAAGTGTCCCTCTGCTCTTCTCTTTCCGCCAAGTGTCCCTCTGCTCTTCTCTCCCGCCAAGTGTCCCTCTGCTCTTCTCTTTCCGCCAAGTGTCCCTCTGCTCTTCTCTTTCCGCCAAGTGTCCCTCTGCTCTTCTCTTTCCGCCAAGTGTCCCTCTGCTCTTCTCTTTCCGCCAAGTGTCCCTCTGCTCTTCTCTTTCCGCCAAGTGTCCCTCTGCTCTTCTCTTTCCGCCAAGTGTCCCTCTGCTCTTCTCTTTCCGCCAAGTGTCCCTCTGCTCTTCTCTTTCCGCCAAGTGTCCCTCTGCTCTTCTCTTTCCGCCAAGTGTCCCTCTGCTCTTCTCTTTCCGCCAAGTGTCCCTCTGCTCTTCTCTTTCCGCCAAGTGTCCCTCTGCTCTTCTCTTTCCGCCAAGTGTCCCTCTGCTCTTCTCTTTCCGCCAAGTGTCCCTCTGCTCTTCTCTTTCCGCCAAGTGTCCCTCTGCTCTTCTCTTTCCGCCAAGTGTCCCTCTGCTCTTCTCTTTCCGCCAAGTGTCCCTCTGCTCTTCTCTTTCCGCCAAGTGTCCCTCTGCTCTTCTCTTTCCGCCAAGTGTCCCTCTGCTCTTCTCTTTCCGCCAAGTGTCCCTCTGCTCTTCTCTTTCCGCCAAGTGTCCCTCTGCTCTTCTCTTTCCGCCAAGTGTCCCTCTGCTCTTCTCTTTCCGCCAAGTGTCCCTCTGCTCTTCTCTTTCCGCCAAGTGTCCCTCTGCTCTTCTCTTTCCGCCAAGTGTCCCTCTGCTCTTCTCTTTCCGCCAAGTGTCCCTCTGCTCTTCTCTTTCCGCCAAGTGTCCCTCTGCTCTTCTCTTTCCGCCAAGTGTCCCTCTGCTCTTCTCTTTCCGCCAAGTGTCCCTCTGCTCTTCTCTTTCCGCCAAGTGTCCCTCTGCTCTTCTCTTTCCGCCAAGTGTCCCTCTGCTCTTCTCTTTCCGCCAAGTGTCCCTCTGCTCTTCTCTTTCCGCCAAGTGTCCCTCTGCTCTTCTCTTTCCGCCAAGTGTCCCTCTGCTCTTCTCTTTCCGCCAAGTGTCCCTCTGCTCTTCTCTTTCCGCCAAGTGTCCCTCTGCTCTTCTCTTTCCGCCAAGTGTCCCTCTGCTCTTCTCTTTCCGCCAAGTGTCCCTCTGCTCTTCTCTTTCCGCCAAGTGTCCCTCTGCTCTTCTCTTTCCGCCAAGTGTCCCTCTGCTCTTCTCTTTCCGCCAAGTGTCCCTCTGCTCTTCTCTTTCCGCCAAGTGTCCCTCTGCTCTTCTCTTTCCGCCAAGTGTCCCTCTGCTCTTCTCTTTCCGCCAAGTGTCCCTCTGCTCTTCTCTTTCCGCCAAGTGTCCCTCTGCTCTTCTCTTTCCGCCAAGTGTCCCTCTGCTCTTCTCTTTCCGCCAAGTGTCCCTCTGCTCTTCTCTTTCCGCCAAGTGTCCCTCTGCTCTTCTCTTTCCGCCAAGTGTCCCTCTGCTCTTCTCTTTCCGCCAAGTGTCCCTCTGCTCTTCTCTTTCCGCCAAGTGTCCCTCTGCTCTTCTCTTTCCGCCAAGTGTCCCTCTGCTCTTCTCTTTCCGCCAAGTGTCCCTCTGCTCTTCTCTTTCCGCCAAGTGTCCCTCTGCTCTTCTCTTTCCGCCAAGTGTCCCTCTGCTCTTCTCTTTCCGCCAAGTGTCCCTCTGCTCTTCTCTTTCCGCCAAGTGTCCCTCTGCTCTTCTCTTTCCGCCAAGTGTCCCTCTGCTCTTCTCTTTCCGCCAAGTGTCCCTCTGCTCTTCTCTTTCCGCCAAGTGTCCCTCTGCTCTTCTCTTTCCGCCAAGTGTCCCTCTGCTCTTCTCTTTCCGCCAAGTGTCCCTCTGCTCTT